CTCTATCATAAAAATGATAGTATATAAGATTAATAGGCAACCCTTATTCAGACCATTCCAGATTAGCAGAATTCCTTAATCAATAATCGGTGGATCTGAAGAGCTCTCAGAGGGCAGAGTGTTTCTGATCCTCTGGGTGTCGTAAAGACGATAACAGAGGAATTGTAAAAAATCCGCCTAGTTGACCGGAATTGACTTTTAGCCACAAAATCCCAATTAAGGCCCAGGAATATTTTGCCTTTGCGCTGGTGGACCAGCTCCTTGCTGGCCAGAATGGCATTTCCAAAAGCAGTTTGGAGTCTCTTGGTGTCTGAGATTTTCTGAAGTACCTGATGTAGAAGTCCTGTTTGTGGATACACATAAGCATTCAGACCCTACCAAGAGTTGGCTTGAGCAACGTGATCCCATGCTATCGGGTCTGGTATTGGAGAGATGAAACTTGGTCATCTTTCTTTGGGATAAGGAACACTGGAGAGTAAAGCCCCGGGAACTTGGGACTGGGACCTGAAATTTCTACTGCATGCTTGTCGAATAAAAATTAACATACCTACCGTGTCTCTGAGCCATACCATCCATGAGCTGGATGGAATATGGCTGGAGAAACAACCATGAGCGGGATATTGAAAATAGTGGTAGCTGGCAAACCTCCGACACTAGCTTCGACACATTGATTGGGGGTGTTATTACTACATGCTGATTCAACTTTATCGTCCCTACGTTGATTGAACATGACAGTTCTGGCATCAGTAGCCACTGGACTTTTGCCTCCCACGAAAGTTTGTCTTCTTAGAAAGAAACGCCTCATTTAGGTCTGTGTTTCAACGGACTATATTGAGTCACTCGTCTGCGACATGGATTCTCCTGTAGATGTTGGTGCTGAAGTTTAAGAAGATCCACTGATATCTTAACTTTGCAACTTCTCTGGCCACCATCTGGATATTATTGGCAAACATTGTTTTAGATGAACAGAGATGTTGAAAAGGAGTAAGTGTTCAGAATACCTCTCTTTCTCATAGCTGTCACATATTAAAAAAGTCAGTCAGCTGATCCATCACCTTTTGGAATTTGTTGTGGATAAGCAGGATCGCTCACTGAATGTGAGCCTCTTCAGATGTCATTGTGACAAAGGAATAGCTTTGGTGGCTAAGAGGTTTGTAGTGAAGGAAGGGAGGGTTTGCTAAATTGCTGTATCCAGATGCATAATTTCCTGATCTTCAACTATGGCTGTATGACATGTACTCTTGGGATTGGGCCTCTGAATATCAGCATCTAGTTTTGGTGAAGTGTCAAAAGATTCCATTCGATGTGTGCCACAGTCCTTCAAGTTGAATTGAGGTGACATAAGTCCATCACTTAGCTTCGTTGGTGAGAGAAAGCTTTGTCCAGATGTTATTCATGTCAAACATCACTGATTTAAGTGGCAACGGAACAGATTCCACATTCTTCATGAAGAAACAAGATTGTCAATTCTCTTCCAAAAGCCTCATCTTTGAAAGCATTTCTAAGGTATTGGCAGTCCAAGTCAGATTGATCGACGCTATCAAAGCTATAATTCCGTCAGTGGAACAAATATAGTCTCTGTGTCTTATCTTGAGTTGAGTGACGATCCTGATCCTTATCGTCTAACCTGTGCTGATCCTCTTGAGGCTCTTCGAACGTTGTAATGCTGACCTATCCTGTGAACAATCACTTGCTCTCTTATCGGCAAGGACTTCTTTTGGACTCAATGATAAATCTTCCGAATGGTCCTTGGTTGTATATGTGCCAGAGGTCGGGAACAGCCACCTCTACAACTATAGCAATACCAGGATTGCGTAGGATATCAGCACAAATAGTGAGAAACTGTTTATGTGCTTAAGATATTCGCGCAAGAAGACCAGTTAGATGTGTCATTTTGACAGACCTGCATCGTCAGCTGTGATGTCAGTGGTGTCAATGTCACAGAGCATGGACACAACTGTGATGGAGACAAGTTTGGTTTAGTGACAAGTCATGTTTTATGCTTTACCATGTGGATGGTTTACAGGCGTCGTAGGGAATGTTATGCACAAAACTGTTTACAGGAAGTGGACAGATTTGGTGGTGGTAGTGTGATGATGTGGGCAGCTATCTCCTACACCTGTAAAACAGACTTGGTGCAAGTTCTTGGGAATTTAACGGCACAACATTACACAGAAACATACAACAAGCGAACATAATTTTCCAACAAGACAAAGCCCGACCTCATACGGTAAAACTGACAATAGCCTTTTTCAGGAATACCATCATCCAGGTCCTGCCATGGCCCTCCAGGTCTCCAGATTTTAACCCACTCTCCAACAGTTGGCAGTCAGAGTGGGTGAACATTCCCAAGGCCACAATTTAGCATCTGATAGCTTCCATGGGACAATGATGCCAGTCAGTTTTTGACTCAAATGGTGGCCATACAAGATATTGAGAACAGATGAGCTTCATCTTGAAAATTAATTGTTCCTAGTGTGCTATATGGAACCTGGGTCAATTACAATGATGTGTGCCAATTTTGAACAATCAATGACCATCTGCTGATTATTCATATTATATATATACCGTATACATCTAAAATCACTGGGTGTGTTTTTTTGGCAGAGTATTTACATTATTTGATATCAATTAATATTTTGTAAAAATGATCCTTTACAAAAGACCTATGACTCCCTGTAACCCAGCTAGAGAGTCATAAAGTTCCCAAGTTTTAAGAGGCTAGGGCGAACCCTGCTCGGTTGCAATGAAAAGCATAAAAACAAATAATACACAGTTTATCAGATTGATATGAATTACTTACATGACCCATTTATTTATACATTCGATCCCTCAATCAACAAAAATCATCCACTGATCATTCCACATAGATCTGTTAATGAACAGCAATATTGTGAAAAGAGGTCAGCAGTAGTGATGTCACACACTGCTGTACATATTTGGAATTATAGAAGGAGCAGCGAGAACAAGTACACACAATCATTGTATCCTGCTATTCAAAGTTTCAATAATGATGCAGAATTTGTATAGGTATATTATTATTCAAAAACTCACACTGTGGATATCTATTGTATTCGCATTAAAAGAGCTAATTAGCACACTTGCCCAACTTCTAGACTAGTCTGTAAGTAATCTTCATAAGCACAAAGACCAAAATGTTACATGACAGTCTGTATTTTCTTGTGTCTGTTACAAACTTTTGACTTCTTCCAGAAAACAGGAGAGTATATTATTTCCTTGGGAACTATCATCTACATTTGAACATTAATGTCAGTCACAAGAGTTGAACCTGAGTTATATACTGATGTTTAGGAGATAAACCTAATGTGTTTCAAAATTTGAGGTAGTCTCATTGTAGAATCAATACCTTCTTATTTTTAATTTGGAACTGAGCAATTTTGCTTATCATAGAGGTAAGAATGCTTTAAAACAGTAGTCTTTTGGAATGTCTAATTACGCATACACAACAAATATTACTGAAGTTCAAAGTTAAAATACCTAAGTTCCTGACAAGTTCATAATATTTGTTAAAAACACATAATTTCAAAAAAAGGTTGTCAAATATCCCTTCAAATATATATGTGTTTTAATTTCATCACAACCTGCTGCATATTTGCCCTGCATGGACACAACTAAGTCGTTTCTTGGAAATCAAAACAGGTTTTTAAAATAGTGACAAAAGAATGTAACTACCGGTAAGTTTATTAAATATTCTTTTCCATTTTCTAAAACTTTTTTTATTTAGTTGGCAATTACTCCCAGTAAATAAATTAAATTAAAAATAAATACTTCTCCACCCGGAACTTTGATGTGGATGAACTTGATCTACTTTACAGATACTCAGCACAACTGTCCATGGCTACCAAAGTAGCTGTTGACAGTCTCCGTCCCATTGACATCTTGCATGAAGCCAGATGACAACCCCAATCAATGGGGTGGTTCTACTTAACCTGTAGATTTACTGGGAATGAGCCTGCTGGTGCAACTTGATTGCCAATGGAACCATCCTGAAGTATAGCTGAATACCACTGTTATTTAGAACTAGCATTGTATGACATTAAAGATTCTTCATTCTTGTGACCTCTCAGTTTCACTACACGAACTTTGACACAAGCATGTGTTCTATTTTACTTGTATTATCATTTGATTCAATAAGAAAATTACCAAACTTGTCCCTAAAAGTTTTATAAATATAAGCATTTGTATAGGCACATTTTTATGGATAACAACTTCTTTAATACTGTAGTGAGTGAGTGAATATGGTTTTACGCCGCTTTTAGCATTATTCCAGCAATATCACGGCGGGGGACACCAGAAGTGGGCTTCACACATTGTACCCATGTCGGGAATCGAACCCGGCGTGACGAGCGAACGCTTTAACCACTAGGCTACCAGACCGCCCCCTTTAATACTGTAAAAAGCAACGTTTCGGTATAGATCCTTATACCATTGTCAAGCAAGTCAAGCAAGTCTTGCTTGACAACGGTATAAGGATCTATTACGAAACATCCCTTTTTACAGTATTAAAGAAGTTGTTATCCATAAAATTGTGTCTACCTTGTCATTCGTCAATTCTAAGTAATGCCTATCAAACAATTCATTTGTATGCAAACAATATGCCTTCGTTAAGTGTTTAAATCTCATCATGAAACCAGTTAAGATTAAGGTCTATGATGTCAAAAACAGCTGATAATGTTCCAATATCGAAAGTATGCATCTCTGATGGGTTGGTTATCCACAGCCCTGTTTTTCATGGATCGATATGTACCGGTAGGCTATATTGATACTTTTTAGTGAAAAAAAGTATAATTTAGAGGTATCAATTGGAAAATTGAGAACAAATCAGAATCAAGCATTCTTCATTATCATAGCACTCTCGAGGATGACATGTAAGCCTGTTATGGATGGTCAATCTGTTCACTTCGAAGTCAAGTGCATAAAACAGACAATTCTATTAAGCAGGTGCACATGTCTTGAAGCTCCATGACAGATTTCCTCACCTGGCAATAAAGGCATGGTCCACCTCATTGAAGTGTCGTAGGTAGAGTCGTGCATAGTTCGACCTGAAGTAAAATAGGGACAAAGTATCCATATTAACATGTAAGACAACAGTTCTACCATGTAAATATGTTACAAACTCAATCAAAACATAAAAAACAATCATGAAATACTCATATCCCCTGCTAATGGAACATTCTTTTGGAAGCGACATTCAAGCTGCTGACCCACATAGCTGTCTGGGACTTTGCTCTAAAGAGTCAATGACATTGAATATACAAATGATGAATTCCCTGTAAGACAACTAGTACCTTCAGTCACCTTCAGTAGGGTGGTGTTACCATGAGAAGATCAATGGGAGCAGTTCTTATTATAGATATCCTTTTCAATCTATTTTCGTGAAATTAATCAACAATAAAAGATAACAAATTCCAAAAGCTTACAAGGCCTCATTTGATCACTTGTGAACATACAATGGTGCATGAACTTTGCTGTGGAAATGAACCCTTCACTGATTGAAACCCCGCATGCTGAAATCTTTGTCATGCCTATTTCATTCTTCAGAAGGATCTCAACTCATGAGAGATGTCTACTGTATTGGCTATGTGACATGTGGAGAGTCATCAATCATCCATAATGATATCATGTAGATTGTTAGACTTTTCCCAAGTGGTGGCAGTTGGTTTTCCTGATCTTGGACTCTCTCTTTTCCCCTACTGAACTCAGCTGACCACTTCTTAATAATGGCAAAGGAATGAACATCATGCCCTGAAGTCGACAACATGTCAGCATGGATAGTTGTTAAGGGTTAGCTCTTTCAGTTGAAGATACACACATCAGGAGCCAAAGAAAGCAGCAAACACTGCTTTCATTAACCAAGGCTCGCTAAATACAATGTTTATTCCTAATGCAGGATATTTACCATCCCCAAACACACTCGCGTGATAACCTCTATTTATTGACATCAAATATTTTTGTTACTTTTGTTATTATTCTGAAGATTTTGCAAACATGGAACATCTTTTAAAGTCACAATAACAAGGTGTGGTTAAACATCCCTGAGTGTTAGATAGGGAGAATTGATGTTCAAGGTTTTACATTAGTAATGAAATAAAATAAATTTTCCGCTTGACAACTACATGAAAAGTATGCCACTCATGAAAATATCCCCTTACCCATGTCACTTGATGAGAGAAACATGATATTTCACTTGAATATCCTCTATTTCTTTAACCTAACACCAATACCGGTGAAAAGCTTAAATCTGATTGGATTGGCAAAAGAAAATGGAGTCAATGTTTGTTCCTACATTTAACAGAATAATCTTTCAGTCTTGCAAAGCTACCACTGGTTCAGAGGTTGTTTACTCCATGTCTGGTGTACATGATCCTGATATCCCACACCGAAAATGGCAAAGTCTGATAGTCTTATTCTGAAGGGAGGTCATGAAAAAATTACACAGTCCTATTTTTCTAAATTCATAATTTATAAATTTGAACATTATTTATGGACTGGTCATTTATGAATAACATATACATAAAATGGGTGGGGAGGCAGCAAAATATGATAGACACCAATCTCACCAGCCACCCCCTATAATAAATAAATGACCAGGTATATCAAACCGGGACAATGGTGAAATCTCCACTTGGTTGGATGAACTTGAAGCAATAGCTAAGACAACAGTTGTGTATCAGGAAAGTGGTATTCTGATGAATCAGATTTCTGTCCTGATTAGCTCCCAGAAGGTCGTTGATGTATATATATCCATGGAGCCGCACAAGCTAGATATGATCAAAACTGATTACCAGTGCCTTAAGACTGGTTAAAAAGCGAAGGTGCTATGAATGGGAGTACTAGGAACTCATACCGACATCAGTTTACATTGAATCTGACATATTGCCTGTATCCAGGATGAATAGTTATGCACAGGCATGCAATTTGGAGGTCAAGGCTGATCATCTAATACCTAGTCCTGAGCCAAATGCGAAATTTGCGTATTGACTCCATCAGGAACTGTGGTGGCAATAACAGAAACTCCTTGTTGAGAATCTTCATATTGATAATCAAGCCAATGTCAGTTGTGATCTTCCTGGTAACAAAGAAAACTGGTGAATAAGTGCCCAGACTGAGATCTGTATCCACCAATACCTCCTCAGCACACTTTTCATTAGTATCCGAATGGCCAGGGACTCTCCTCGCCAATATCTTGCAGTTTTGAGTAGGGCCAAGAGTGAGCTGGTTTGTCCCTACGGTATCCACACTTTCCTGACTGTTGAGAGTCCAAGCCGGAAGCCGGAACTTCTTGGGGACATCACAAAAAAGGAACTCTTCTGGACGATCCTGAATGAGACCTTTTCTTTGGCGCACAGAATAATTGTGTAATCTGTCAGTGTTCTCCTGCTGAAGATGGTAGGCGCTGAGACTGCTCGGTTTATGACATTTCTCATTGTTTGCTTCAAAACCCTCCAACATACTTGTGAGAAAAGATGTTGTCTCTGCATGCGTGTGAACTGAGTGAACAACCACATCTAAGTGAATAGCAAATTCTGTCCAGGAGTCCATGCATAATGCTGATCTGATCAGTATGGAAAGATACAGGTGTTACCCCTCGAATTCCTGTGTAAGATTCTTCCAATGGTGGGATTGTACACAGGATACAAACCAGTTGATGTCAGAGCCAATGTTCATTGTTTGTCAAATAGTGGCATATATCATTCAGAGAATAGTCCAGAAAATAGTAATGTTGAGGTTGGTGACCTGACCAACTTATAGAAGTCTAGGAGAGGCAGATCCATTATGTTCTCAGTTTCCAAGGATGAAGAGGTAGTTTCTCATCACTTCTTAACATGCTTATCCCATCATTAGCCTGCTTGACCACCAAATACCCGTGCCAGTGTAAAATGCTTTAGTGCAGTGCAACAAACATTGACTCCATTTTGCTTTAGTGCAGTGTCCATGGCACCAAGCTTTGACCAACATCTGAGGAAAGACCCCTTCCTGCACAGGTGGTTTGAGGCAGGGCATAAGATGATACAATTCCTCAAAGAAATCAGCAATTGAGTGGCCAAGTTCATAAATGTTTGGGACCGGCTGGTGAATCATTGATATTCCTGTCGTCCCTCCAATCTGTATCTGATACTGGGACAGTAGGCTTGTCTTCTAACCCCCATCTCAGTTATGGTAAGCACATGCTACTGGTCCTAGCTTTTTGGTCCTCGAACCCTTTCCCTGGTGGCTGCTCCCCTACACATGACTGGCTGGGAAGACTTCCTCAAGCTGTGAGTGTGGTCACTGTATCCTTATAGATTCTTTCTCCTTTGTAATGGAGGCCAGTCTTTTCTCTGTCATGGCCTACCTATTTTTCTGTTATAAACTCTATATAAACTATAAAAATAGTGTCCTATAAAGCCTTAAAAAGAGATAGGCACTAGGACCATAGTTCTGTAAAAAATGAATTTAAGACACCAATTTTTTTACTCAGTTGAAATCATGACCAGTAACATCAGTGTGTAAATCTTTTTCTCTGACTTTATTGATTTTTCAGAAAATTTGTCCCCTTTGCGAATCGGACAGATTGAAAGACAGAAGGACAGACTGACGGACAGACAGATGAACTACATTCTTATATCCCCCATGCAACTTTGTGGTTGGGGAATATAACGTTATCTAAATTAACAATTTTGATTTACAGCGTAAAAGAAAACATAAAAGGATACTATTATTGGTAGATGCACAATTATAAACTGAACTGCAAAAGAAATGTCACCCCAAGTAACACTGCATGAAAAGTTGTCATTTAAATATCTGGGTAATTTTTGTCAAAGTTTCTCAAATGTAACATTACCTTGTCTGGAAAAATGAAATTAGATGATAAAAAAACAAAGCAGATGACAATAAAACTGATTGCCCAAACGCATCACGGCAACGGCCATGGTAACCCGATGCACGTGAGCTCCGTACAATTTGAAATGCACATGCATTCTCCCATTTCTTGCCCTTTAGAAATCCACCCAGATCGGATAACATTCATTCGTTATTGAATTGCTACCACATGCCAAGATTGACAAGAAATCAGCGACATCAAGCCCTTGGACGATTGCAAGCTGGACAAACCGCTCGGCAAGTAGCCAATGCATTTCAAGTCCACGTAAGGACCATATACAGGCTCCAGCAACAGTACCAGACCACCAACACTACAGATGACTGACCACGTAGTGGCAGACCAAGGGTCACGACCCGACGTCAGGATCGTCAGATTGTGCGACAGCATCTTCAAGATCGCTTTGTTACTGCTGCTAAAACTGCTCGAACAGACCATAGGGACACACCAGAGACACATAAATCCGGACACTGTGCGTCGACGATTGACGAGCAGACACCTCCAGTGTCACAGGCCACACCGAGGACCAATTCTGAGACCATGTCATCGCCGTGACCGTCTTCAGTGGGCAACACAGCACCAGCATTGGCGCCACCAGCAGTGGGGAAGAGTCCTCTTCTCAGACGAGCGCTGTTACTGTATCTCAACAGCAGATGGCAGAGGGAGAGACTGGCGACGCTGTGGGGAACATTATTCGGATGCTTGTGTTGTTGAGAGAGACTTGTGGGGTGCTCCGAGCATCATGGTGTGGGGTTGAATTGATTCTTGCACAGAGGGTTGGCCCTGTGATCTTCCAGAACATCAGTCCAGGGAGAGGCAATGGTGTTACAGCAGCTCGGTACATTGATCAAGTCTTGAGACCACAAGCCATACCTCATTTGGCACGTCGACGCAACCACGAGATTCAGCACGATAACGCCTGTGCCCACAATGCGAGAGCAACAAGAGACTTCCTCTGGCAGAATGGCATCAGAACCATGCAGTGGCCTGCCCTCAGTTCCGATAAAAATCCCATTGAGCACCTGTGGGACGAGATTCAAAGACGGCTGAATGACGTCCGGCCAAGGCCGACAACTGCAGCTGAACTGCGTCAGGCGTTCCTCAGAGTGTGGGCTCAAGTGCCTATGGCCTTCATCAACCTCCTCATCCATTCCATGTATTGACGTTGCACGGCAGTCATCA